TAGAGCAGACGTCTTAAAAACACCAATAAAAAGACAATACACCTAACCTGTCCGATCAAAACCAAGAGATCCCGAATCATATACCTACTAGGAATAAATATTAAAACCATCGATTCATAACAAACCGATAAAGTGCACTATAACTAAATGTAGATGCATGCGCACAAGTAAACTATTTTGGTAATTTCTGTTTTAAACAAATCTTGGTATTGTTTCCACAGCATTAAACAAAATGAATAGGTAGTCATATTAAGTAGTGGATGGTTTACAACTTAAGATATAAACAATTAGTGGTTGTAGCAAAATCCACATTTTTTTTTTTATAAAATCTTGGCAAGTTGACTATAACTCCAGTATAGGTATATAGGTACAAAATTGTTGAAATAACTGTTCGTTAGTTTTAATTGATGACATTGAAATTATTACAAGTTGCCCGATTCAGTATTGAAACGAGGCGAAAAAACTAAAGGTTTTATAAAACTCGCTAAGGAACGTAGAGGTAACATTTAAAAAATAAACTTTTAATTACTTCAAAACTTAGGTCTATAACTTGCACGAATTAATTTGTCTTATATGGAAAGAGGGAATACAAGCAATGGTACTGCATCATGATGGTACATATCTAAGGAAATTTAAACTTACACGTTTGTAAAGCCAGAAAAAAAATTAGAAATGATGAACTAATTTCACCTATACTGACACGTAAAAGCACTGTTTCCAATCGGCGATAACTATAAAACGGTAAAAACTGGTTTTATAGTTACCATTTTCATCACGATACAAATTATATACGTTTGACCATAATAATCTGTATTAATGTTATAGTATAAAATTATACATCCTGTCTTAACATAAACTCACATAACTCAACCTAAATTAAATATAGAATAAATATTTAATACTATACATTTTACTGTAATAAGATATGTTTGTATGGTTTATAATTAAATTTTAAATTTTAAAAAAATAATGATAATGTCTAGGATTAATAAATATTGTTATACAACACTATATTAAAATACGAAATTATACGTATGCATGTCAAGAGCTGCATGCATAATATGTATTTTATAGGTATAATAATTGTTACAATTATTTTATTAACGCCAATATGAAAATACTAAAATAATAAAATCTATTTCATGGGTCACCAAATGGCGCCCGAGGGCCGCATACGGCCCCCAAACAAATGTTATCCGGCCCGCAGACAAAAAATAAAAACACATATTACGACAACATTCTATAATCTATATTCTATGTGTTATTGTTGTAAATTATTATTTTTGTTAAATATTATTGGTTTTCACCGATTTACCGACAACTGTTGATAAATTGGTCGCAAAGCATATCTTATCTAAACTTTAATTGGGTCATTGGGTGAAATTTTCAAATGTTAAATAGTTAGTTGAGAGCAAGATTTGTCATTTTTTTTCACTAAACAAATTTCTATTTTATTGTATTTATAAATAATTTTTATTTTAAATTTTTCAAATGTTTGTAATATTAATTATTTTTAATGTTTAAAAACATTAACAAATAATAAATAAAAAAATAATGTTCTCATTACATCAAATTTTAAAATAATACCTTTTGTCCTATTATATGTTGGAAATATATACTCAGAATTTTAATGGCCCGCGAAAAATTTTCAGATTCTTAATGTAGCCTTCAAAATATATTAATTGGTGACCCCTGATTCTATTTATTGAGTATATAATTATTGGAACGAAATTTCAAATCTTGATAGATCATCAAAACAATTTTGGTCCACAAAAACGTGACTTACTGGTTAAACTACTGTAGTAGTGTATATATAATACTTAGTTTATAATATATTTCTACGTATAATAAACCGAACCTTTTAATTTGTGATTCCGACACGACGCGCGACGGTTCAAAAGGAAGGTGCTGCAGCAACGCTTTTAGCCGGACAGACTAGCGAGCGAGCGAGGACACGGTAGCCAGTCAGTGTGTAAGTGGCAAGGCGTACAAAACATGCAGAGCCTTCAGAACATTTAATTAAAATATATAATTAGCTCAAGTTAAACCAATAAAGAATTAATCATGATTCTATTAAAATCCGTCTCGTCGATTTTGTTAAAGAGTATGTTTTTCCAAATAGTCCGTAAAAAAACTGTAACTGTAAATGTTGATTAGATTTTGACCACGATCTCATATTTGATTTTTAACTCTGATAATGGAGCGAGGAAGCTATTGGTTATAGATTTGCTAACGTATTATTTTCTGTTCACATTTTTTGGAGGCATTAAAATTTTAATACTAAAAAAATCAAAAAACTTGGCACCGTATTATTTATAATAAACTCTTGTACCTATATTACAATAGCAATAAAACAAATGTCAATTAGTTACCAAATTATGAAAAAAGTTCGAGGTCATTTCGACCATTATGATGGACTTGGCATGCATTTAGATCTACCACTTTTGGTATGGCAACTACCGAGAAATTATAAGGTTGAAATTTATTTTATGCACTTATTTTAATTTGTAAATTTACAAGTACTCAAACACACAATAATGTACTTATCGCAAATGCATATTTTTTGATTGGATCGAAATTGTACACATATAATAAACAGGGTGTAAAAATCGTGCAAACTATATGGTTAGTAAATAATTTAAGAAATATAGGTAGTCATGTCAGGAAATTCTAAAAAATAAAATTTTTAAAAACGTTATTACGTTTAAATTAATTTACTCAAAAAAATTCTCTAAAATAAACTACTTGACTTAGATAAATGTTTTTACCATCAAAATTGTTCTTATAATCAGATTTACAAGTTGGATATTTTGAATATTTCTAAAAAAAAAGTTAATCAAATTTAAAATTTTTATTTTCAAGATTAAAAAATAAATAATTGTTTTTATATAGTACGTTTAACGCAATAGTGACCAAATACATTATAATATATAATATTAAATATTGATTAGAAATTTAGAACAAAAGTTATTTCATCCGTCAGGTTTTCATGTTACATCCTGTATAATATATTATATACTTCATTAAATTTAAGTAATGGATGAATAGCATTTGTCCTACTACAACTTTTTTTTTACCCACACACGACAGTGAAGGAGTGGTGTTAATAAAAAAAGAAATAGAAAGTAGATTTCGACCAAACAAGGTATATTAAGTACCTAGCTAGCTTATGAATAGTCATCACGATCGCCGATTTCGTACGATAATAATCAAATAAAAATAAGAAAAAAAATCGATTGAAATCGAAATTTTAAACGAAACATTTTAGAAATTTCATAAAGACACAAATTTAATGCTTATTTTCAAGATTCAAATCAAATCTAAGAGTATAATATAATAGGTTTCACAAATTCCTTAATATTGGTTTTTTTCTGAATAACATAAAATTTGAATAATATCGATTTCTTAAAATGATGTATTTTTAATGAGATGCGATTTTTTTTAATTTTGTTAATTTTAATTGTCAGTGTTAGGAACGTGTTGCCGGAATTTGTTGTATTTGTCTAATTTACGTAGAATATGGTAAATTTAGATTCAATATTGAGTAGGTAGGTCACTAATTATAGTCATTATTAAGACATGTTAGATATTAATTAAACGACAAATAAATACAAATCAAAAACGATTATGACCGGAGATCATGTATGAAGTCAATAGTTGGAATAGGATATTTTATAATATTTTTATACATAATTATTACCCAAAAAATTAATTTTTTTACACAAAAATCGGTTGATCTAATTTTCGCAAAAACATATTCTATCTATTATTATACTATAATACTATAATATTATTATTAATAAGTCAATACCTTTTGGAATATTATTTAAAGATTCGTATCGTTTAAAATTAGTCCAAATATTTTAAAAATTGTATTGTGTATGGAAAATTATGATTTGAGTAATAGTGGAATGTTTCAAGTTTCAACGGCCAATATTAAATTGAATTACATCATATAAACAACTGATTTTAGGTGTTTTGTTGGTTCTTGTAGCTTTTCTGAGTTCTATTACTAAAAAATATTATCGTTATTCATTTTCAACCTCAGTTTACCCGAATGATACCAGTACCTATACCACTATCGGGTCTTATAATTTATTATGATATTGCAATATATTTTGTATTATACATCAAGTAATAGCTATATACGTATTGCCTGCCGACTACCGCAGTCCGCAAGTGTATTTACGATGAAATGCGTAATGCAAATTGTAACGTTTATTATATATTCATTGCATTTTTTAAGGCTTTAAGCTCGGACCATTTCTCCTACGCATGACTTAGCTAATACACAAACAATTATTATTCACCCGCATATAAGCCCTGTCATCAATATCGAGCATCTTTCGAGCCCACAACTTACAGGCACGGAGTACGCAACTCAATAATATTTTCCACTCGCAACCCCACTTTGTCATCCCCTTGTTTAATATTATCTCGATTGATGTAGGTACGTACCCTGAATAAAATCATTGCACATGCGAATGATATACATAAAAGGAGAAAAAATCCTATTGATAACGAATAGAAAATATCGCATTTTACAAAGGTATACAAATAATAAAATTAATTTTTTCATTAAACCTTAATATGCATTTCAATATTTGTTATCAAGCGACTAATATTAAACATTTTGCCTACCTACCTTAAAAAAAATATGAAATTAAATCTATATTATATATTGACATTGTTCAATATACCAATACTACTAGACTTGCATTTATTAATGTTCAACTAAATTTCAGTATACAAGATACCCCTAAGTGCATTCGTAATTTCATAATATTATTCAGCGTATAGTCTTACCTATGTAATTAAATCGGAATTAATTAAATTGTGAAAATTAAAATATAATTGTATTTACGTTGGTAAATTAACTGTTGCAAATATTATAAGTATTAAGACCCGTAGGCCGATAGAAAGTAAAGACTATAATTAATTACTATTAGGTATCGTAAATAATAATAATTATAGATCGATTATAATAATAGTTTACTAACCTGCCGGCAATACTTGTAGGCCTCGTTTATGTGCATAAAATGTGCTGTATCCAACGAGTAACTCTTCTCGTTGGTAAATGGCTCTTGTAGTTGTAAAATAAAGATAATCTCCGATTTGGTCAACAATCATGTTCTGTTCTTGTTTTGTTTTTGCTGGTCGCACAAAACACATCCAATTGGATTTATCTAAATTAAAAACATAAGAATACCAAACTACAATTAAAACGGAATAGATTTAACTTACAATTGTTTTGATCAATACGGTATACGCGTTTTATAATTGTGTGCTGAATGCTTACAACGAGCCACGTTTTACATTTCAGGTCAACTTGATTTTAAAGTTAATATATTTTATATTTTTATGTATTCTTCAATTTAAAATACACGTATATATCTATAAACACCTAAATTGTAGATCCTAAAAGATGAAACTGATTGAATGACATTCTCAGATCAAATAACAGGGTCTAGGATCTTAATATTTTACCCGGTGTTTTCTTCTTCAGAGGCAAGTAAAAGGTAGAGATTTTTCGAAATTCAACTCTAGAGATGTGGATAAAAGATGTTAAAGTTCATATTTTTGTCATGGGTTGGCTATGGAAATACTTATCAAATCGTTAAACGACAATCCTTCAATTTATCAAGCACAATACAGGGCTGTTTTAAAAATGTCAACGACTTAATACGTAGTGATCCATTTAATGCGTAAGACACTGAATATTTCAGAAAACTCTAGTGGTTTTAAAAATATTTCTTTTACATAACTCTAAGTCTTTACAAAACAACGTATTTGGAAAAAATTATATTTTTCACCATTTTTTATCGTTATTCATTTTTAAGTTGTTTACTCTTTTGAATGCCAACACACATTTTTTATTTATTTTTCCGTAGCAGAACATTATTTATAAAAATGAATTATAATCTATTTATACAATTTTAATGTACTGAAGTACTGAAAAATAATTCTATTTTGGAATATTTGAGTTAAAAATACTTGTTTTCATTAAAAATAATAAAAAAGTTTTTTTAGAAAATTTCTGTTTTCGACGATTTAAAATGATGTAAAAGAATCATTTTCAAAAAAATCAATGATTTTTTTAACAATCAGCTAGTGTCTTACGTACAATGGATCACCAGGCATAATATATTTAAAATAAAACGGATACATATTATTATCTTGTATTATATAATTGAGTATAAATTGACTACATTTTAATTTCGTTTGACTAAGAAACTGTTTTTGATTAAATCTTTTTTTTTTTTATCCTTGAGGATTAAACACTTTTTTTACTTCCGAGTTAAGTACTATCTTTTCACTTTTGCCGTAAATCATCAACATTAACATTGAAATATTATAGAAACATTATTATATTAACAATAGAATAATAACATTCCGATTATGAGCTGATATTAATTTTATTTTGACTGTTTAAATAGCCTCGATGACTACATACTTGTATGCATAATAAATAAAATAAATTTAAAAAAAAATCATCATCGAAATTAATGAATTTTCAATCATTTTAAAATGCACCGAGTATCTATTATTTATCTGTGAGATTGTATGTAACGGGATATTCCAAAAATAAAAGTATCTAGTGTCAGCATCCACCAATACACATTTTTATTAATCTCACCCATCCCTACCCACCACACATAATTACTCTTAACTACTTTACATAGTCAAGCTAAAGTAACATAATTTAAACCAGATTAACTTACATTCACATACCAACATTAAAATAACATCCAATCACATCATACCGGCAAACAAGTCTCCACTTAATCGTGAAAAACCAATACAACCCTTTCCGATATGAAAATACGAATAAAAGCGAACGAACTACCGCTCAATACTATAATCACTATAATAAGAAGACCAACAATACGATCAAACTTACACGAATCGGCTACTTACTACTTGACAGAACAATTTAAATATTCACCATACAAACCTATTTACTTTTATTGTGTCGTGTGCATACTCTAAATTATCATTTATCATTAAAAACTGTACCTAAATCGCCTGTTTTCCTTTTTGTAGCATGGATAAATCCATAATATTTTGTCACTATTATATAATTCAATAAGTACGTATATTTATATTTATTTTTATTTGACCATGTTTGTGTTTCGTTAATAAAATACATATAATATACGTGATTTAACAATTTAAATGAATAAAATATTTAAAACGGTACATATCCAGATATAAAAATCAAGTTATTTGAATATTATAATATGTTCAATGCACGAATATTTATTTTTTTCATTTATTATAAGTTTTTAGAAATATATTATATAATAACACAATAACTACAAAAATAACATAAATTGAATCGAGAAAACATTATTCATTTGCTTTACAATCTTATGAAAGAGTAATTAAATAACTACCTTATTAATAACCAAAGACTCCACATGGTGAAATGGAGAATTTTCTAGAAACGATGGACAAATAGACAACATGACATTACATTCATAACTAAGGTTCGGGTTTGAATGCAAAAGCCTTTTTTTAATAACAATAATAATAGAGAAACAATATGTATGTAAAAATGCGTGTCATTTAATATGCAAGATGATGAACATATTTTTTTGTTGCCTTTTTGACTTTTTCACTTGTAAATTATTTATTGTGTTTAATTTTCAATTAGTTTTATACACGACATACGTATACGCGGTACAAATCGATAAGATTTTCTGAAGACAGTGCATTGTCGGATATTGATTAATTTTAATGGATTCTATAACGGCGACGTTTACCGATATCGCTAAATACTTTATCGAGTATTTGGTATGGCCAGTTAATTTAACGTTTATTAAAGTACCTATGCTACCTATCTACAAATTAAAATATGTTCATAATGAGTATATACTTACTATAGATTCAAAATTGTTCGTCAGTCAGCCCCGATTACATTGTCTATGTACAAAAATATTTTAAGCCCAAACCGTCAATGCTTTACTGAAGACAGTTTATCTAAGTACATGATAATTGATAGTGATTTTTTTTTTAATACACGCTAGTTTAAATATACTAACTAGGTATTTAATTTGTTAGTACATTTTTTTTTGTATTTGATTTTTATATAAATTAAATGCTTTTTTTACTGATTATATTGAATTTAAATCCGAACCCTATTCATAAATTTCTCAAATGCATTATTTTAAATTAAAATAAGTCAAATACAACGCTAAATGCACCACAAAATTAAAACTTGAAAATAATTTATTTAAGTTTATAGTAGACAAATAAATGTAGAACCTAACTGAATCTTTAGTGTTAATCAAAAAATATATAACACTAAGAGTAAAGAAATAGATCTGTTAACTCCAATACCGGATACGATTTCGTATCATGTTTTTATTCAGGACACCACTGTTGTTTTAAAAATAATAACGTTTAATATTATACCGAACACCTGGATACTGGTTCAATTTTAAAAATTGGTATTCAACAAATAGTGAGGATTAGTAGTCAATAGTCATAACGAATACTTTAAATAAGAACAAGCTACAAGCATTAAAATCGTCTCGTCTAGATAATAAATATTTCCAAATCGTGTTTATCCTCTCGTCTACCACTTATCCTTCCTACTAATATACTCCCTAACCACCACGTCGTCCCCTACATAAACTTTCATATTCAGCTCTTTAAATATTTAATGAAATCTATAATACAGTTGATAAAAAATTTACATAAATTATTTCTAAAAAATAATTATCATAAATGTTTGAAAACATGAACACGACAACTTAATTTTTTTTTGATTTTCAATTTAAGTGAACCAATAAATACTGTAAATTATAATAATTACAGCTCTATAATAATACATTAATAATTCTTTGAGATGATATTTAAAAAAAAAAATTTTAAATGAGTTATTAACGGGAACAACACCCTGAAACGTATCTTGTATAGAAGCAACTATTCAGAATTAAAAGAAACATAATATTGTATTAAAATTAATCTAAATTTTTGATAGAATATAAAACACTTAAAAATATTTAGCCGAGAATAATAAAACCCGTTAGGGTGATAAAAAGAAACAACGGTAATCGATAGAGTTATACTTTTAAACACACACACACTCATAGTATCTCTCTCTCACACACACAAACACACACACATAGAACACGGACTTGTACTAATATAAATTGTGGGAATATTCTAATGGTAAATACATGAGAAAACTTGTTCCGGTTAGGTCAGATCTTACCGAAACAACTATAATAATTTACACACAGTATCCACTATCCGCGATTATACACTAGGTACTATTTTCTTTTCATAACATAACTTGGGCGGCATGATAGACTATTAATTTATCCAATACCTAATGCTGCAGTGTCATATTATCGTGGAATCGCTCTTTTACTTCATTTTTTACTTTCTCCCACCGAGGACACGCACTGTGATAAATGGACAATGTTATAATTATACGGTTCCAGTTCAGTTTACCTACGAGTAGATAAATTATAGCAGCCGGGCCTACGGCTTCAACCAGTGGCGTATATAGAGGGTGGGCACAGTGAACTGAAGCCCCCCCCCAAAAAAAAAAAAATTACAGTCTTTTTAAACAGAACAACAATATATTTTATTAGGTAATATAAGTTATAATATTTCATGGCCTGTTGAAAAATAACAAATACGAATATATTTATAGAAACTGTTAAATATATAGTAGACGGTAGTCTCTAAGTAATAGATCACTTGCTAGTTTCTGTCTACTATAGCCCATCCCAAAAATTATTTCTATATACGCCACTGGCTTTAACGATGGTAAAAAAAAACAAAGATAAAAAACATTATTTCAAGCAATTCGATCACAATTAAACCAAGAGTTATAAGCACGTCGATATACTTTGATCCGCTGGTACAATTATTAATTAATATTAGCGACGCATGCGATCCGAATAATTTTTGGAAAACATGCGTCCAAACACGTGACAGTTGTAAAAATACCCACTTTTAAAATACAGGTGTCCAAAATTCGTATTAGTGGGCAGGGGCCGACGCGTAATATAATAATATATGGCCGGCAAATATTTGGTTTAATCAAAATAATGTTCATATTATATCGTGCATTCCAAGTGGTTTATAACGGATTTATTTTTCTTCAAAGGTATATACAGGATGATTCACCAAGCATGGTCACTACCATTTTTCCATTTAATAACGAATTTATTCAAATTCTTATTTATGGAATTCTTAAGTATACCTACTTGAAAACCATATTATTTTCAAATTCTTGAGATATTTTCTAGTACCTATTTGAGAAGTGAACTGTGTGGCGACATCAATTTCTGTTTTTCAAATAAGACCCCCATTCATTTTTACTGTTAATTATTTAGTGTATAATTGTTTTGAACATTTTGATGTACTATATAGCTAGTCCAAAATTCAAACTAATAGTATTTTAGTTATTAAAATGTTTATACCATGAATAAAAGCATTAATTGGTTTTACAAAAATATTAAATAGATGAAATATCGGATATATAGTATTTATTATACAATATTATAGGACCATTTTTATAAACTATAAATATTGATGGATCATTATAAATTACTAAAATTTTAAAATGACCATACCCCTCGTAAACCTACTATTATGAATCTATTGTTCTTTGTACAACTCAACTCAAAAACTACCTACTCGTTCCCATTTTTTTTCGATAGTCAAAATGGTTGGAAAAAAATATTCACTAAAAATTTACAGTAGAAAATGAAGGTTGTCAATTGAAAACAAAAGTTTGTATCTCTACAGGACACTCCTTAAGTAGTACAAAAAATCTTAAGAATTTGAAAATATATTCTTTATGTATACAAAATATTTTGAATAACTGCATAATTGATGAAGAAATAGGGGGGGAGCATGCTTGGTGAATCACCCTGTATATAGTTAGTTCACCAAACATGATGTGTGCTAAGTGTTACGGTGAGGTCATAATTGAATACAGCTAATGGATATTTATTTAAAATTATAATGTCACATCCAACTGCAATAGTATACAAACATTTTCATCGTCTACCGATGTCATCGCCAATCGATGTTAGGTAATTCCAGTTATTTCCCCGAAAACCGGATCCACTGAAAATAATGAGCCATAAAATAAATATACATAATATATTTACAGGTTTGACTATAATGCAGTTATGTATGAGATTGTAGTTCGAATCAAGTTAATGAACAATTTTTGATTTAAAAGGGCATACAAGAAATATAGATAGGTATAAACAAATTATTAGTAGTTCCAATGGGACAATGGTTACACTTAAGTGATAAAGATACTTAAATTTCTTACACTAAATAAGGAAATGTGCAAGTGTTTTGTGGACACCAAATGTTGACAATTTGTGGAATTTTATCAAAATTGCCCTTAAAATTACCTTTTTGTAAAACAATATTACGGTAGGCCATTTTCAGGAATGATAGACTAATGTGATTGTGCTAAATG